AGCAGGAAAAAAGACAGGTATTTTGGCCTTTACCCTTTAAATAACCCCACTGAAACAAGTCTGTCCTTGTGTAACAGCTTCTTAATTCTGCAAAGTTCATTACTGCCTTTTGAAAATGTTATGGTAGATAGTCATGGTTTACAGTGTACTGTTATTAGTTCCTTACCCTTGCACCTGGGAGGCCAGGTTCACCAGGACGCCCAGGATCTCCCTGACCTCCTTTAGGACCAGAAGAACCTGCTGGACCACGCTCCCCTTGGGCACCCTAGAAAGATACCAATGGGCTACTAGTTAAAGGTAGCAACAGTAAGAGAAGGTTAAATAAAACAGGTATCTTATATTAAGGACCTATTTTTGCAAACAAAGTTCCAAATCATTAATACTTTCATTATTATTACTTTTTCCCCAAACTATAACTTAAAAGTTGTCTCTTCCATAAAACACATATATGTAAGGATTTTAGAATTCCTGTGTTTTTACCAAGAAGCTTGGAATTTAAAGAAACACTAGACAAATACATATGTGAGTCACTTTCTTGAAGTGTTATAGCACTTATGAAAGCCAAAGACAGATAAGACCATCTGTTCAAGGGACAAGCCTAGAAAAAACTATACCACACACACAGAGAAGACAATTCTTCAAATAGTTACCTAATATAGAGTAATACATAAAGCAATGTAGTAGCAGAAACAGGTCAATGTCTCTTATCTATTTACATTGCAGCATAAGGGAGCATTAAGTCAGGCATAGGCAAGGAAAGCTGAACATCACAGGAATTGAAAGTGACTTTTCTCAAAAAAAATTTTAGTCTCAAAACATTCAGGCCCCTTTTTGGCATTTGTCAATTCCTTTTGATCCTACTTCCAATGATTTTCAGGATCTGCCCATTTGCCAAGAAGCATATTTTTTAATGGAACACTTTTTTCCTTTATATCTGCATGTATGTAAATTTTCAAAATTACCCAAATAAAAGACACTTTAAATTCATTTACCTTTGGTCCAGGCAAGCCATCAGAACCTGGAAAACCACGATTACCAGGAGCACCCTAGGAAAAGCCATAGATACAAGTTTATCATCTTAATTTTTGCATAACTTATTTGCAAATAAAGCACTAGATTTATGGTTTGGGGGTTCAGTTTATTTCCTTACAACTTTCTAACTTCAATACCTTAAACTTGGGGCTTTTTTACCACTTGGAGTGGTAAAAATATCAATGGTTCACTCATGCATGCTGAACAGCTCCTATGTGAACAGCCTCATTGTAAACAAGATGGTCATTTGTACAGGGGTTAAGCAAAAAATCTGCAGATTAGCTTGTCCTATCTCCATAATTTCTGTTATCATACTATCCTGTGCACTGAAATCACAAACAAAAATATCCAGAGTAAAAATGGGTATGACAGATTTCTTTTCCCAAAAAATAATAATTAGAAGAAAGATCTATTCAGGATGCCAAAAACATCATGCCATATTTCTATATCCTGATCCTCAGGTTATCATTTTCAAAAAGAACATATCACAGAAGACAGTATCCTAAAATCACTAATCTGATAGTGAACCAAGTTTAAAGACACAAATTACCTACTGTTAGGAAAATAAAGTTTGACCACACCCAGCATGAAGCTGTAAGAAAATCTGGGTTGCTTACCCTCTCTCCAACAGGACCTGGTGGACCTACTGACCCTGGATCACCTCGAGGACCTCTTTTCCCTTCTTCACCTACAGGGCCAATGGGACCCTGGGGACCTTGTGGGCCCTAGTGAAAGTAAAATGTTTTTTAAAAAAATCATTGTTAAGGTCACCACTTCTCAGGTATATTGAAATAGACTGTCTTCTAAACATCATAAACATTTTTCCAAATAAAGAAGAAAAAGTATAGTTAGGTTTTGAATCACGTTACAGATGCAGCTTTTCAGCATTGGCTTTTCTCTTTTACATTTATAAGCTAATACTTCAGTAAGAAGTGCACTATGAATAAACCATAATTCTGCAGTTCAGCTGTCCAGTGCTTCTTATAATCACCTATTTGCTCAGATACAACAATTTGTATTTATTATTATCAATTGGACAAGCTGTAAAGGATTCAAAATTCACTGAGACTCTTGTAGAAGTTCTCAAAGGAAGGAGCAGACAGACAGTGGTAAGGAAACCATTGCTTCATCTGTACAGTTTTGTCAGTTATTATGTGATCATTTAACTGACGAGGAAAAAAAATCCTAAAGATTGGTTGACAAGTCAAACTGACTCCAACTCTGAAGAATCACTTTTCTTCCAAAATTCACATGGTTACAGCATGGAATTAGCCACATTCTCAAACATTAGCTGTGGGCTAAACAGCTATTCATACCATACAGGTATAAATATTTATATTAGTGTGTAAATAAGATATAATTAATGTATACTTAACTGCATTAAGTATAAAATGTATTAAAAGTAAGCTTAGAATAAAAAGGACTTTATTACGTTTAACACACAGATCTGTGTGCTCTTAAATGTCCAGAAGCATATGGATCTATTTCTCATGACATGAAGAAATTAGAATAAACTCATTCTGCGTGCTACAGAAACCTCAGTAGATGCATTAATTGGTTTCTCAGTCCTTGAGTCCTGTAAGGTCTATACTGGGTAGGTGATTTATAACATTAAAGGACCTGCTTCACCAGTCATTCTTAGTACCGTCTAGCCAGGTTTACTGTGGTTTGTCTTCCACAATAATTACTCGAAAAACAAAAAGCATCAGAAGTGTCTTGAAAATTTTAAGAATCTATGCAAAATACTCATATAAGTCTTTGTGATTCCTTTTCATCTTACAAAGCATATGGAGACTTACAGGTTCACCTTTGGGTCCTGCTTCTCCCTTGAAACCTGGGACACCAGGGTCTCCCTGAAAACAAACATGAATAACACCCATAAGGTCAAAACTCTGCGTAAATCATTCAAACATTTTGGGTGATGCTATGAAACAGAGAAACATTCCCTAGTTTAGTTACTAGTTGTAGTTTATATCATACGATGCTTATAATAGTTTGTCTTTCCCCTTAGCATGCTTTTTTATTATGACATTATCAAGACAAAAATTTAAATGAGACAATTTCAGGAGATAATTGTTACTGTTTGTCCAAGTTTATATAGACACTCTTCTTTCTTAGGCCTCTAAGAAAGCAAAAACAGTATTTTGGACCCACAGAAGATTCACAATATCTGAGTCTCAGCATGCTCGCTAGCATGTTATTAATCTATTTAAAGGAATGTCACTGCTAATCACTGTTGTAGTTTCATAGTGTGACACATTTGCTAGACATCATGATTTCCAGAGAGACAAAGACATCATTACCGGCTGGCCTCGAATACCAGGTGGGCCAGTACTGCCTTGTGGTCCTGGGGAACCAGGTGGGCCTGATAAGCCAGGGGGGCCTCCAGTGCCTGGAGATCCCTATAAATAGAAATAACAGCAAGCACAGTAAGGAAAAATAATAAAAATATGGAAATAAAATAAATCCATTTACACAATTTCTTCAACAGGTGATATGATCACTTACAGTTGGGCCCTTAGCACCCGGGGAGCCATCTGTTCCTTCAGTACCCTAAAAATAATGTACCAATCATTAAAACTAATTTTAATGAGGAGGGTATTGATAACAAAAGCAGATGATGATAGTTATTTTATCTACTTTACAAGACCAGACAATAAAGGCTGTTAAATAAACACAGCAATGTAAGATCTACTTGTGCAAATGCTAATATGAGTAACAAAGCGTGCAAATTAACGTGACTTGTAATCTTTAAGATCCTATGTTTCAGCTTAAGCTTTAAAGTACTTATAGGATTGAGACTATCAGGCTGTGTAACTTTCGGTTTTCCAAGTTGTTTTAATTAAATAATGAAAACCTATTTTCAACAAAATAAGCACAAAACAAATGAACGATACCTTTCATTTTCTGGGAAAAAAGTAATTTGAGCAAAACTCAGTGCCTATCAAGTGGGGTATTAAAATCCTCTGTAAACAGGGCACATGCACAAGCTGAGCCCTGGGGAACTCAATTTAATGTACTTACAGGAAGACCTTGTGATCCAGCTGGGCCCTGTGGACCTGTTTCACCTCTTTGTCCTTGAGGACCTTCAGGACCACGAGGTCCCGTTGGACCTGCTTCACCCTAAGATTGCACATGAGAAAACAACTGGAGATTATTTTGCCCTAAAAAGCAGCACTTCAAAGCAACTAAGGAAGAATACTGAGTTTATAAGAGAAAAACAATTCAGGTTTTTAAATAGTTTATTATCCTTAAAATGTATTTTTGCTCACCTGATTCTGCTTCTACTACTTCTACGTGAACGTAAACTTTAAAAGTACAAACAGAATTTTTCCTCAGTGTATACAAGGACAAGGAAACTTTCTACAGAGAAGCAGCACTATATAGGCTCATATTAGATCAAATATTTTAGATAGATATCTCTCTCTAAAATCCCATTATGTATCTGTAATTTGACAACTTTTTTTTTTTTTAGCTGTATTAAGCTAAGGCTTAAGCTTTAGAAATGATAACACGTCTAGGTTTTTTTTGGACCTGTACAAATTAACTCACTGTTGCAGCACTATGTTAAATATAAAATCCCTGTAAGATTGGACTGGATGCTCTAATTAAAAAAATTCCTCCTGGCATCTCCTTTGAATTTTATCTTTGTACAGGAATTTGCCTTTCGGAACTGATGGCTGTTAATATTGTGCTTTCATAACCCAAGACCACAACTTCATTGTGTGGTCTGCTTAGCTTTTATGAGTTCAAAGCAGCTATTCTAATTTTACATCATCTGATGATTAAGCTTGAACGTAGCTCCTCCTTTTCAAAAGCTTCCATTGATTCATCATGTGATAGCTTCTCCAAACATTTATTTAGGTATTAAGTAGTGCTTATCCATACCACAATATTTTATGACATGCACTAAAAGGTCTGTCATGTAATTGTATACATTCTGTTAATACTCTTAAGATTAGTTTCCAAAAAATTGTTTCACAAATGTTGCCAGCTTCACAACAACACAAAACATCTGCTGAACTTGGCTACCTGACTAATTCAGAGTTTCTTCTTGTATAATTTTTTCCTATCATGTTTTAGGTGTGTGAAGGAACAAAGAGGAGCAACTGGATGGAGGGCAAGTATAAGAAGTATAAGGAAGCTGTGTGAGTTGTCTTTTCTATCTTCTTTGCAGACATATTCTCAAGGCTAGTTAAAAAAAAAATTGAGTGCTTTCTTGAAAAACAAGAGAGGAAAGTCCCACAAAGACAGCGCTGCATCCAGCAAAAGTATTCCATTTCAGCCTAATCACACAGAGCCACAAAAAGAGGTAATCACCATTTGGCTCTATTGTGATGAACAGCAGTACATCTCTGTTGGGGTTCAGGCATTTTTCTTACCAGTCTAGGTCATCTCAAAAAGTGCTCTCATCTCAAACTGGACGTTTCAGCACTAGAAGGTACTGTTTCCATACCATCTTAAACTAGTCCTCGCAACTTAACTTGTAATAATGCATCTTGTTATTCCTTGAATATACTGAACAAGATTCCTGAGGCACATCATGCCAGTCATCTTATAATCACCCCTTAGCTCAAGCAAAAGTGAAAGCAAAGAAAGTATCCTAGCAGTGGTAAGTTGCAATTGCTTCATCTGACTTCTGATTTCTATCTTCTGTCTCAAGGTCTTGACTAAGATTGATTTCACAGCACCTCTTAGGGACTTGTATACGTATCAGTCTGAACTCTTTGTAGTCTATTACACACTTTTTAATTCTGTGTTGTTAGACATATTAAAAAGATTTTTTTTTTTTTTTTTTTTTTACCTTTACACCAGGAGCACCTGGAAAACCTGGAGAACCAGTTATGCCAAGTGGGCCCTACAAAAGACAGACACACAAAGCTGTAATTTTGCAGTTTAGATCACACAGATCAGTATCTAATCACTGGGTAAATATAGTTCTGGGATTAAATGTATTTTTTAGTCATAAAACATTTGTTCATAACAAAACCAAAATAACTATAAATAACGTTTTCTAAGTGATACACATACACTTTATGGAATTGTGGTGCAGTATATTAATAATGTATTTACTGACTTCAGCAAAGTTACAGCTCTTGATTCAGCTATTAATGCATGAATTGCAATGTACACAGTTGACAATTATTATAGCAATTGTTTTTAAATTTCAGTTTTTAACAAAATATATCCTCTTTTTATATCTATGCCACTGTGGCATGGTAATGAAAAGATCAGATATTTACTAAGTGATCACAATTTGTCCTACAGACTGTAGGACAAATTAGAGTTGCAATTCTTTTAAACTTAAGATAGTAATCTAGGAAAAAAGAGAAATACAAGCCACATATATATTGAAACAACTGGGTTGCTAGACAAAATTTTTGAGGTAAGCAACTACATGCCCTGCTTCCTACTCTTCCACCCCATTGAGATTCCCAAATTCACAGCCAAATTCAATTGCAAGCTTTAAAACACGCCTTTTCTATCAAATTTTCAAGGCTGTATAGACAAAGATGTACAGCAGAGACAGTTTGCTGCTTGGATCTTTGTTCAGAGCTAGACAGGTATTTCTGGAAAAGGCAGTGGAGGAAAGCCTGGGCTATGGCACACCAGGAAACACAATGCTGTGCAGAGGTACATCTTCAGCTCCCAGAGCAATATAGCTCTTATCTAATAGCATTATATCTTGAGAGAGTCGATGCTGCATCTAAAAAGGGCTGACAGCTTGAGCAGATCGCAGTATTGATGTGGCTATGCCATTTCTGGTTCTAGAGCAAAACTCTTGGTGCACTGCACTGCAGAGTGTAGGTACACCTTGTGGCTGCGAGGACATGAAGTTTGGGCAAGGATGCAAACAGCTGGGGCTGCATTACATGGCAGACTGTCCAAACTCACTAGAAAGCAAACTTCAAGTGTATATACTTAAATATACCGGTATGATATGACGCAAACATTGTTTTGCTAAATGGAAAGACTTCCAATTAAGGGCTTTAGAGTAAATTTGTAAATTGTTTCCATTTTCATAATGCCTCTTGTGCTGAACAAGACATTCAAAAGACCTTTTAACTGAATTATAAACTCTCTGGATGGCGGCACACAGTGGTTACAAATATTCACTACAACACCATTCCCAGATAATTCCTCTTTATCTTGTCCTGATTTTCTCTCTTTTTGTAAAATATGATGCATACTGTGAAAAAATGTTCTATGTAATAAAGCTCTGCTGACAAGCTTAATAAGAACAATCTGTCCCAATGAGCATTAATTACAGACCACATTTCTGCCATGACCTTGCACTGAATTTCTACACAACCGATATAACAGCTCACTAAGTATATTTTGGAAAACCTATGTCCCAGTTTATTGGATCACAAATACGTCTGCCAAATCTCTTTCTCATTGCAGGAAGAATTCCAGAATTACAGTGTACCATTGCACTGACCCAAATAACAATGCATTTCATTAACAGTTCCTCCAATGAGAAACATATGTATTAAGTATCAGTATCTCCCTTGTGACACTACATGGGATTTCATCAAAAATGTTAGCCAACCAATCATCATGTTCACTGAAGCTGACCTCATATTTTATGCCAAAGAAAAATTTCAAGCTTCATGTAGAGTTTCATATATCGGGACCTAGTTTTTAAACTTTATAATTTGCTTTCATTATTTAAAAATTTCTTCTAACAAGTTACCCTTCTTTCATGATATAGTAAGTAACTGAGTTTTGCACATTTCAGACACACTCATTATTTGAGCTTCTATTACAGTTAATTATCTCTTGATGAAGTTTTTAATAAAACAGTCTGTTCATTAAGATGACACAGGTAAATTACTTTTTTTCAGGACTTATATAACTATTAAATAAAGAGTATGGACAGAGTGAAATATTAATTGCAGGCAAGTGTGTTCTGGGATTGTGAGGATATTTTTGGTGTGTGGGGTGGGGTTTTTTGGGGTTTTTTTGTTTGTTTGTTTTGGGTTTTTTTTGTGTAAGTTGAACATCACAAAGTGGTAAAAGTTCAGGCTGGCTACATCAATGGGCAGAAACACTCAATCACATCCTAGAAGTAATGCTTTCCAAAAAAGCAAACAATAAGGATACCACATTTTTAAAGTGGGAGCTGGCCTTGCAGAAATAGTGCAAAATCATCATAAGCTTTCATTTGCAAAAGCAATGCATAATTAACTGTATGTATGTGAATCATGCCACTGGTTTCCTAAAACTCATGTGAATTCATTCAAATGCATTTTGCAAACGCACTATGAGATTGGATTGTAGGACTGAAATGATCACCCTTTGATACACCAACATCCACAGTTTAAATTGCCACGGTCATCTTCAGCCCTGTTGCAATCGCGTGAGAACTACAGTCATGCATACCAGGCTTCCTCAGCTTAGTAGACATTGACACATAGGCTTCTGGTTCTTCAGTTCAATGTGTGACTGTCCATAATGAAACGGCTCTCTTTTACATGTTTTGTAATGGATCTATTGCAGGTAGCGAGTTCTGCTATCAGTGAGTGGCATTTCTTCTTGCTGAGAATGGGTACAATCTCATTTGCCAACTTTGTATGTGAAGAAAGATAATATGCAATTATAAACTGTTTTATATTACAGTATGTATCTTTAAGACACTTATCTCCCTACAATATGGATCCCCCTTCATAAAAGCAGCAAAGCATCACCTCTCCAGGGAAGATGCCACTCCTCTGCAAATTAAAACCTTTAGATGAAGCAAACTATACCATTTCTCAGAGGACAGCACTAAAGCAAAAATGAGTAGAACGAGGAATCACTTACAGATAATTCCAGGTGCACTTAACTGTTACCAGCAACTGCCAACCAGTTTTTTGTGCTTCTTTTGGTACTGTCAAAAGGCAAGTAGGAAATACAAAGTGAAAAAAATAGGTGATTAAGAAAGAAACTTACCATTGGCCCTGGCTTCCCAGGCATACCATGCTGGCCACGTCCACCCTAGATATGAAAATAAATGGGATAGAGCATTTATAATAACTCTATATAATTTTTAAAAAATTTATTTATTGTTAGCATTTGTGATAACAGCCATACATACTAAAGTGATAAAAGAAATGCTGGATTGCAGAGCCCTCCAAACACTGGCAGGGAAAACTTCTGGAAGAAATTATGCTCCCCTTCAAGTTAATGGATTTCTCTGTTTTCAGAGATGCCAATATTTTGACAGTGTCATTGTATGGAGCACATAACATAAACACAGCACATAAAAGTCATGGGGAGAAATGCCAGGAAAAACAATTACTTGACACTGGACATAAAGCGACTCAAATATGATCTCATGTCAAGGCTAATCCCTCTTTTTGCTGAAAAGCAAAATATTTTTTTTAAGATGACAGCTTTATTACCTGGAATTAAATTATAAGACTTAAAATCTAAACTTTCATTTTAAACTTACATATTATTTCTAGTTCAGTAATTTTTTGGTGAAAATAGCCTCTCGAGAGAAATTTCATAGGAACAAAGGAGACATTTTTGTATCACAGAAAGAAGTGTTGTGAGAGTATTTGGCCTTGTGGGCAGCTCTAGTATGAGAAATTACCATACAGCTAGCATTCTCCTTTTAAAACTGTTTTTGACTTTTGAAATTTATAATAAAGGTCTTACCCTACAAAACTTTGCTCAGCCCTAACTTTCTTAAGCTACAGCAGAACTCGCCACAGAAATGACTGGCAGTCACATGAATCAACACTTTCAGGCTCAGGGATTTAAATTTAAGTAAAACAAGGGAAGAATCACAAGGAGAGAAAAAGAAGATCCTACTTACAGGGGCACCTTGTGGGCCAATTCGACCTCTTTCTCCTGGCATTCCTCTCGGTCCCTTGAAGAAAGAACAAACAGTGCATTATTTAGGAGCTCATCGTGGCAGAATAACAAAAAAGGGAAAACATAGTTCACTTAATTTTTCCCCCCTTAGTGGAGAGAACATAGACCACCCTCTCTTTTTTTTTTTCTTCTTTTTCTTTGCTTTTTACCTTTTTTTTTAAATAAACATACTTGACTTTTCCTTTGCTTCACATAAGTTTTACACTGTATCGCTCTTCAGCAATTTTCTGCTCAGCCTTCTTTATTTGCTTTTAACAAGAACATGATTAGGTTCACTGAGACTACAAGCATGATAAGGACAGATGATGCAAGCAGTTATAGAACCAAGTTATTTTTTTTCCTCTTGCAGCTGTAGCCTATCTTGTCCTATAGCAGGGAAGCAGCAGCTTACATAAATCCTTTCAGCCTCACAGCCTTGCCAGTGGAAATTTAATAGACTGTAATTTCTCTTTTCCTGTTCCAACAGTATTTCTAGTTTTAAACACATTAGAATAAATTCTGTATATACTCACCAGGGTCAATAATGAAATCTCATTTACTACGTTTCATTCACAAACTAGGTTCCACTTCAAGGGTATTACATTCTGCATGACACAAGATAGTGCTTCACAGAGAGATGTCATTATCTGATATCAGAAAGGTGCTTTACTTCCAGAAGCACTGCTGAGAGTCAATTTTTGGCATATTACACTGCTCGTAAGTATTCCGATGTCCAAAACCACATCTAAATGAAAACTAGTCTGAGAAATAGTTTCCCTGTTTCACTTCCATGTCATGCATGCTTATCCTCACCATAACCTCCAAAATCTTCTGTCCATGGTTTTCTTAGCCAGTGCATTTTTGACTTAAATTATTGCATTTCTATCTCAGAGCAACCTAAATCAGTTTTTCTTATATTGAAATCACTCCACATGAAGCATCAACATGTAAAAAAAACTTAGTCACCCTACACTTACATGAGTAGGTAAACAATCACAAAACCTACATTCAAGTTTCTGTTGAGCCTTCTGATTTTTCATTATTATCTACGGCTGTGAATTGCAAAGAAAGCTTACAGTGGACCAAATTTGCTGTTAGTGTAATAGAAAACAAAGCCTTAATTAAGAGAAAATTCAGCTTCATGACATCAAGTACAGATATGAAAACCTTAAAATTCCTAGTGGCAATAGCATTTACAATCTTAAAGACACTTTTGTAATATCCAATACATGACACTCACAAGAGGACCTGTTGCACCCATGGCACCTGTTGGTCCGGATTCTCCCTAGAAATGGAAATGAAATGACACAATTAGAGGAAATATGTTTCCTCCCTGTCCTCCCTGCTTATGTTAGACCTAAGAGGCAGATCCGCACAGTCACCTGTGTGCATCAAGGGCACTGTTCCCCATGCTGGTGGGAAATACCATATTTACATATTCTCAGTGAAGCAGATTGAACTCCTACCTGTTCTAGCTAACAGCCCACAGGACCTACCTGCAGTGCTTCTAGCAAGCCTCCTGCTGTGGTTGCCTCCACAGAAGGTGGTAGGCAATCTCAGGAAAGAAACCTTTTCTTAGGCAAACACTCCTTCACTACTGATTTCACATTTAAATTCAGATTTAGGAAGATTCACTTCATTTACTACATTTATAATCTAAAGGAATAGTCCTGACCCACCTGTGATTACTGCCTGCACTAGGCCAAAAATGTTTTAAAATAACTTTTAATCCACCTTGAAAGAATTGTCTCCAGCTGGCTATCCTGTGTTACCACTGCTTTGACCTGAAGTTGTAAGGGTCAGTGAGGGTCAAAAATTATAAGAGAATAAAATTGTTAGGTGAAAAATAGTCCGTTTGATAAAATATATTCTTTCTTCTCTCCAATGCCTGTTTCTTTTAAGCCAATCTCTAGTATTGTAACCCAAAAGAGGAGAGTCAGAATATGTCATAGTTATGCATTAGTTATTTTATTATCTTTCATTATTTTGGCATTACAGAAAACATGCTTAAGTGTTTAGGTCTTTGGGCCATGAAAATACCTTTGCTCCAGCTGCTCCAATTTCACCTTTTGGACCGTCAAGTCCTTTCAATCCCTGTAAGAGTTATAAAAATACAGAGAAATTATATTTACATATGTACACACACAGAGCATTCCTACTATTATTGTTAAAATAACTCAATACTAAAGTGTTAAGAACGGCTCTGAGGTGGCAAGAGCAAGAAAGGAAAAAAAAAAAAGAAGAAAAAAACCAGATGGAATAAAGTTTTTCAATGTTTCCAAAGTGGAAAACATTTGTGCAAGGTACATTTCCTTGGATTTGGTTTCCTTTTTAAAACAAGAACGTTTAAAAAAAATTCCTAAAACAACAAGAAGGAGGCTCTGAGCCATAGGAAACCTATTTATTCCTCCCTGAAGTAAAATTCTGGCCAGAAAACTTGGTAATTTGTAATCAGTCCATGTTGCAAACATATCCACCTTTCAAGTTCCCCACCCTAATGCAAGACTTGCCAACAAAGCGAGAGAATTGTCAGGTTTGTGCCTCCCGAAGCTCGACAGGGCTCACGCAAGCACGTTCCAGATTCCCAGATCACTTGAAAATAGAGTGAAGAAAGCACTAGAGAATATAATACAGAGGTCAGCTTAAAAGGGAATAGTGCTGATTCTCTGCAAGGCCCTCTTCTCTCAAATGCTAGTGCTTCTCCTGCAATTGGTAGGACTAAAAGTGTAGTCAAATTCACGACTAATACAAAAGTTGTTGAGTATCCCTGTACTGAAACTGCCTTTAAACACCATCTATGAGGAGAGGGAAAATTTTGTTTCTTACCCTGTGACCCTTGAGACCTGGGAGACCAGGAGCACCAGGAAAGCCTCGAGGCCCCTAAGTAGGAAAAAGTAAAAACAAATAAAATCCTTATTTCTGCAGATAAACCTGTCAATAGTGCTGCTAACAGGGCAGAGGGTACCAGCATTAATATTAACTTTCCTAACACTCCTTCACCTTGGTGACAGAATATAGTGAGGCATGACATTTGAGCAGGTCACAGATGATACAGCATAACATGCTATGATGTTAGACAGTCTCAGCATTATGTACATTTTCACTGACGTTAAAAGCTTTCTTGTTTACATTGGTGTATGATCAAACCTCAAATAGAAGTAATGACTAGTGGTAGATCAAGTTTTGAAGCTTAATATGAAGAAACCTTGATTAAACAGAGGTCAAAACCCAGAGCTATCATTTAAAATAAAATACAAACTGAGACCAAACTGCACACGTTCTTTCAGAATATGTCAGGCAAGTTGCATAATAAACAACTGCTATTAAAACACATTTAACAATTAAACAAAAGTTACCTTGCACTTAGTTTCCTACCAAGTTTCCTGATTTCCTTTCAGGAAAGACTAAGTAATGGAAGGGAGCTAGGTGCCTCGTGTTAGAGTATTGGTCACACGAATTTACAATGGAAATCACATTAACACCTTCATACTCCCAGATAACAACAATTCAACAAACTGTTTAAACATATCATTTCTTCCTTTACGGTACCTCTGAACCAAAGTTCTCAAAAAGATTACAGTTCATACCTCTCAGCATAGCAAAAGATCACGAACATATATTACAGAAAATGAAGCGACACTGATATTCAGAGGAGGGAAAAAAGAACATCTGCGATCTCAGCATTAGAGAGAAGAATTTCACATATGGACAAGCTGTTTCCTTGTTAGCATCAAGGAACGTAAGAAAGGTCTTTGTCTTCCTATAGTCAATTATACAGATAATGTTTGATCATAAAGTTCAGTGGGAAATTACTCCAGAGTTTGCGGACTCCCATAGGGAAAATTACTTTATAAAGGTATGAAATTTCTGAAATTAATATATTGGATTGCTTAAAATTATTTATACTCAATGAGTTTCTCAGTGAAGGATGATCTCTGTTATCATACAAGGTCTTACGTGTAAATTTGAAATTGTACAGATTATGTTTATTTAGACTGAACCTAGCCCACAAAAGCTATTTATTTGGCCTGTGCTCAGTGGTATGTATGTATCAGCCTAGACAACCAGGCGATCAAATGATGAAGCTCACACATGGGATAAGTCACATAGCAGGGAGGCAAATCACGTACAAGGGGAAACAGCCATCAGGTATCTCCATAGCAGTGTATGAGCTTTGTCATTGATCAAGACACGGCACACTGACAAACTATCAGGGTATTCAGTGGTGTTCTCTACAGTGCTATGCAATTACAGCAAACTCTTAACAAGATTTTTGTGTGTGTGCAGTTGCAGTACTTCTTTCCTTCATTAGAAAGTCTTCTAAAAGATAATTTTATTGAGCAAAACAGCTTGATACAGAACAGTACTCCACAGACTACATTTGCCTCAAGCAGTTTACAACACACTGCATTTGACCCATAAAAATTAGGAGGAAAGCTTAGGAAACAACACTACCTTGTTAAAAAGTCATTTCTCTCTCCAAGAGATCCTATCTCTAGTTGCTAATAAAATCGCCAGGCAAGAACTTGATGCTTAAAAAAGAAAAGGAGGCAGCTTAAGAGATGATGTGTATCAGGTGGCTTCAGTTCTGGGATTTATCTGTCCCCTTTTCAGCCACACTACAGCTCCCCTCCAGGTACAGAAACTTGACTAATGAAGGCAGAACTCATAATATGGGCCAAAATTATATAAGATGATAAAATTAGGTTATTTTACCATCAGATATACCTGTTTTATTTCTAGAGTAAACCATGACAAATACTGTCTGCAGTACAAGTACGTATTATTTGGAAATCCTTTAATCACATTTGTATATTGAAAATATATATACAAACAAATTATATATCCCCTCTTCCCCTGCCCTCAGACTGACTGTTATAAAGGTAAACAGTGCCACCCCAACCTGACATCATTTTAGAGTCTCTGAGCACTTCCTGCACATGATTGCGAATGACCATGTGATACACTGGGAAATAAAGTACAATTTGTACATACTGTCATCTGTTTCATGCGTATTTCACCTACGAAACAGTTGAAACATGCACGTGAAATGACTGTCAGGATTAACTCAAGGACTTTTGAATCACCTGTTTGGTTCTGAGCTATCACACTGATCTGGATCATTAGAGTAAGCTAACTCAAGTACTTCAGAAATCGAATGGCAGAGCTTTGCACTCATTACTAAAAGATAGTGATGACGTAAGTATGACTACTTTGCTAAAACATAAATAATCATGGTCTTACTGGAGATCCTGGAAATCCAGGCTCACCGGATTGTCCTGGTCTACCAGGTTCACCCTAAAGAAAGAAAAAAAAGGAACACATGAAAATAGCAAATGTGAATATTAACTTATCATTCTTCCATTCAAACAAATGAGGACATTCACATCAGTATTATACATCTTCTCTTTACCGTAACAATTTCAATGATAGCTTGGTACTTCTCCTTCTGTTCAAACATTTTAAAATGTGTATAATTTCATTCTAGGTCAGTGACTACTCTCTCTGTGATGCAATAGGAAAGGAAATATGGTAGAATCAAATAAGCGTATTTCATATATTATTCAAAGTCCTCCAGAGTCACAACCAAATATTCCTTATTTTATTTTCCTAATTTAATCAGTTCAAATACATCCAGGGCTCTGGGCTGCAGGAATATGAAAGGCTTCAGAAAAATAGTTTCTGGACAGAGAGGAGGTAAAGTGCTTCACAAATGCAACCAAAGAAACTCATATGTACATTGGAAATGGAAGAAGTTCTTTGAGCAGTATCAAGACTTGGTTTCACTGCACTGATAGTTAATTGTTTTCAAAGATTCTTATAATGCTTTGTATAGTTTAATGGGAGAGCAGCTGTTACACAAGCTATGGTAATTTTTATACTAAAATATCCGACATCTGCAGTTTTCAACTCATTTCCAAGTTATAAATTACAATTCAGATGGATTTAGTGTGCTTTGCAAACAAATAATATATAGCTACTGGTAAATTCTTAGGCTATCGTTGTGCAGTATATATATATGTATGCAACAAGTATAATACATCTTACATATATGCGTACATAGAGTCATAAAATCAATTATGAATATAATAAATTATTAGGAAATTTAAAAAAAACGCACAAACTAAAATTGTATTGTCCAGATCAAGATGAATGTTATCATTACAGTTTTTTTAATTAATCACGTGATCTCAAAGAGAGGAGATGCTTCCAATTGCCCCTCCTAACTGTGGTCTATTACTATGTCTGATTTCAAGAAAGACATCTCAGTCAAAGAACTGGCAGAAGCAAAAAATAATACAGACACAGTGCTTAAACCTTAGGTATTATGGTGATATTTAAGAAAAAGATAGGAGGGTTTTGAAAAGGGTTGCCAAGGATTATAGTTATGACACTGCACTTCAGGAGGACTATGATGACAAAGAAAAGTAAATAGATAAAAGTAGTTACAACAGGCACATCTGCTGGTTAGTCACTGTCTCAAAGATGCCAATATTTGTTTTATTAAAAATAAAACAAGATACAAAGAATAACAAACTTACATCTTCACCAGGTTTGCCTGGAGGTCCCTCTGGTCCACGAGAACCAACTGGACCCTAAGAAATAAATGTAAGTGCTGAGAAGTCAATTTAGCCATCACTAAAATATCTATTTGCTCCATTTCAAAGTTTTGTTTTATAATAACAGATATAGGAAAAGGATGATTTTATGTCTGAGCACACTTGCTTAATTTTGTAGTGCTCTTTCTAATCATCCACCCCTAAGAAACCTATATTATGTTATATAAAAATACAGGAGGGATTCTTTAGGAGAAAAAAAATACATTAAAAGTCACAGTTGCTGTTGTTTCCAACCTCTGGCTCTTGCTTTTACTTTTGAATCAGTTTACCACCTCCAAAAAATAAATATTCTCATCACCCTTTGTGTAAGTTACACTAACCATCCTCAGGTCTGTGCTGGAAAAGTAATAATGACTGTTTATACTCTAATCATTATTATGCATGTTCAAATCAATTCAAATTCATTGATTCAGAACAACATGCTTTGCACACCACAACTCTTGACTGATGTTACTTAATAGGTTTGGCTGAGATAACACGAAAAATAAATCTGTTCTGAAGCAAGAAGTTATAATATATTGTCTGCAATTTTATTGTAGAAATGTTTGTATTTATTGGTCTTACCATAGGTCCTGGATCCCCAGGTTCACCAGGTGGGCCTGTGGGGCCTGCACCACCCTAAAATTAACCAAAGGTGAACACAGTTACAAATTCCAAAAAGTAAAAATATAAGGATAATAATTAAAATCTGTGATCAGGAAAATCGCAGCCCATGGGACAGTCTGGATTCTAATTCAGAACCAGCTCACATTGTAAAACGAGTGAAAGCTGGATACTAAAATCCCTCAAGCTTTAGCTAAGTCCTGTGCTATACACAAATCCCACTGGAAACTTAACACCATGCCAATACTGAAAACAGAACAGTCACCATTTTAATTGCTGTTCCCTCATTAAATAATGTGTGTTGGGCTAAAACTTTGTTAAAGATCTAATAAATTGTTCTTTTTGAGTTAATTTCTGTGTATAGAGTACATCTGGAGCAGAGCTTTTGAGAGCAGCATGTTTAGATTCACCTCTAGATGAAGATGCATTCATACATGCGTCACTGAAGATGGACACTGCCACAGAGATGCACACACCCCAGTTACCATGTGCTTTGTCTTCAACTCTGTCAGTTACCTTAAATCCCCTAAGGTGAAGTACTTACTTGTTTTCCTTGGAGACCTTGAGGACCTCTTGGACCCACTGGACCCTATTGAAAACATAACTTGTTACACACTGGAAAACACCCTTCCCCAAGTAACATTCATCCTACAAAGACAGCAAAAAGGCCTGATAGTGACCTCCAAAATAACATTTCTATGGTCAACCCTTGGAAAGGCTTTTAATTCAGGAGACTGATGTCATGAAATAGAGAAGTACATAGAATGGAAATCTTCAAACTCAAAAAGCCACAGCAGCATAAATTCGTTAGCAGCTGCAAATATGGGCTTGCTTGCTTTCTGGAATCTCACAGTCAGAATAACTGGGTTGCCTGCATAGCTCCAATGAAAAAAATGTAATAACAGAATAGAGTTGGGGGGAATAGTCTCTGCTTGAAGGGAATTCATTACTCAGATTAATCTCATAATGGAATCAATGACAAAAAAAATTCATGCTGCTGTTCTCAGACGTGAGCAGCAACAAGCAGCAATGGAAGGACATATTTTCATGAATCATACAAACCACCCAAACAGCTTCCAAACAGTTCTAGTTAGTTACAGAAAATTCAGATTTCCCTTTAAAAAGTTTTACAAGATTTTTTTAGGAAAAATCTCATGCTTACTTGTAACTTATACCATGAAGTAAACATAATCTTGTCTGAAAGCAATTCTCTTGCTTCTAGTAACATAAAAACACCTATAGCAGACAATTACTTGCATTTTCACAGAGGGTCAAGATTTAAGTCTTTCACACACAATTCATTAATTTTTACTAATTTTTCCAAAGCAAATGTAGAAGAGTTACTAATAGGTAATTTAAAAATTCTAATCAACTTTAAAAATAAAACAAAAAAGAATGGTTGGTTCAGCTGAATGACTGTCAGTTACTCAGTTTACAAGGAAAATAAAAAAGCGTATCACAGAATATGATGAATCAATGTAAAGACAGTGAGTGCCAACTGACTTCAGTAGACTTTGTATAAGGCCTTAGAGAGACCTAGATATTGAAAAATACCTTAAAAGAAATATTAATATTAAAACGAGTCATATTTGAGAATGACAAAAGAAGAAGCAGTACAAGAGATGCAATGTCTCAAGACAAATTGAGTGAAAGGATTAAGCAAAATGATGGATGGCAACAAAGTAAGTAGGACAGGCTTGCAGAACAAATCATTGAATGTGCACACAGCAAATTCACTGGAGGTAGATATTCATAAAAAAAAGAAAGTTCTTTGAAGAAATCACTGCAAAAGTTAATACTAAGGCAAACCATCAGATTATCTTTAGAACCTTTCAAATTGTATTGAAACTGGGTTTGAAGGTTACTAGTGGGGACTTGGAGGCATAAGATTCAGGTAGGCAAACTCAGGGACAGTACAATCACTGAAGGATGGTTTCCTTTAAGAGTGAATGTTAAAAATAACACCAAAGAGGGTAACAGTATAGTGAAGAGAGATAATATTCAAAAATAACCCCAAGATTTCTAGCAGAGACAGCTTAGGGTGCTGAAACAGCTTTCACAGATGGCAAAAAATTTCAGTGCTACCATTAAAGTCCCAGTGCACTGAAAGTACAAGGCATATCTAAACAGTGAGAGATGCCAATGATAAAATTGGACCCATTGGAAAAGCAGAATGTATTTCTTAAAATAATAAACCACAGCTTTCACTTAACAGTTGGTTTCAGAAATAATTTTTTTAATTACTACCAAAAATAACTATCTTTGATGTCACAATGTGAAAAGAAGACTTCAGTTACGTATTTGTTTATTCTGCTTTGCGTTATACCTGACGCTTTGCAGTTACTCTGGAGTGACTCAAGATATGAGAACATCAGGAGCTGGGGTTTTTTATTTCCTTGTACCTTACTGTTGGTAGCTGCTATATTTCAGAAGGAGAGAAGGAAGACAAGAAGGCGGCTAGAGGTGGGGGAAAAAAAGCATTCAGTTTAACAGAAGAAATTTTTTTTCACTTTTTTCCAAGTACTGTGCAAAAATTCATTAGAACACACTGTACATGCAGGTTCTAGAGATATAGGAAGTTGAAGATGATGAGTTCGCCTTTGGGTTTTTGCACAGGCACTCCACTTCCACCCTGTTCTACAGTACAGGGCTAATTTGGTCTTACCACTGCACCAGGCATCAATCCCATCTGACTACCAAGTCCAGATTTCTCATCCAGTCCTGCCATCTGAGCTGCAAATGGCTGCAAAAATAAAAGGGGTGATTTTAGCTGTCAGTCATTTTGATGGTTCATAAGGCAAAACCAATGTAGCCACATCTTCATTATTTACATTGGCTTTGCAGCGCTGACAACTAAATTCTTGGTTTAATCATTAAAGTTCTCTTTCCTTTAAATTTGAGGTGGTTTAAGGCTTCAAAGTCCAGTCAAATGCATCATATTGTCTGCTTACTATTCTGACTCTACCTTCACTATAATATTAAACAAATGGGAAAATGACCTAAAAAGAGTAAAGCCTCCTGTGAAATTAATAGATTTCTTTTACTACCTTCAAATTTAAATCACACCTTAACTTCACCTGCAAAATTCCTTCATGTCTTCTAAGCCTTTTTTTTTTTTTTTTTTTCCCCACTTACTGTGCAACAAGTTCAGAAATATCTTACGGGAAATGGAAACGTAGTTGATTTTATGATTGCAAATTAGAATGTTAGTCTTCTCAGTGTTGGTCTAAACAATTCCAGCAAGAAGTATACTTAACCACATTTTAATTTCTCTCATTAGTTCTTCTTTTATAATTCATCTTACTTTTTATTTTCTGTATTCCTAACTTGGTACACCACTTTCCCTGTACTATCGCCCAGATCCCTTGGGTTTAAGTCAGGTGGAAGTAATGGAACCCTATTGAGGGTTCTAGATTTGGCACTTTGGCTTTTCTAGATGCTAAAACCCATTGTGAAAGGTGTGTCATTTCCAAGGTTTCTCACGCTCAACTTGCCCCAATTTTTGGCAGAACTTGCACTGCCACTACCTGCTGTCCATTATAAATGGGAGACAGAACTGTGGGCACAGTATTCCACATTCACTGAAGCAAAGTTACACTTTATATCATGTGGATCTGGCCCAACACTCAGTTCACTTTCTACTAAAGCATGTGTAAAACCTACCCTGCTTAGTCCATCTGGTCCTGGGTGGGTAGGATGCCCTGGAGGACCAGGGTCACCAGGCTGGCCAGGGATACCAGGTTCACCATCAATCCCTTGAGGACCCCGAGGACCCTAGAAAGAAAATCAGAAATGCCAACAGTGTGCAAAGTTATTCATTAAAATCATTGTAACTGGCAAGCAACTGCCTCGTTTGTGATAAATCTGTGTTTCCTGAAAGATCTTCAAACAAACAACATCCCTCAAGATCTGTTCCTACCTTCAGATCAGAAACATTAGCTAAAATTAGTCACAAAACCAACACACAAGTAAACTGCAGTAATTTCTCTCACAGACTCTTTTAGAAACTCAGGCTTCCTATCATTCCATACTAGAGTATACTATTCCTGAAAAACTATTTGGCTTTGCACACAATATAGAATAACACGAATTTACTTCTAAAATACACATAAACTCATATTAGCGTACATACTTACACATGCTTAGGAAATTCCATCATAAGGCTGGATTTTTACAGCTTCCTGACATCATGAATGGTTTAGACAGCTAATACTATTGCTGAATTCTCAACACAGTTACACTGCCAAAAACGCAGAGTAACTCCCTTGGCGTCTATGTTATTTCTAGCTAGTATGTGCAGAGTAGGCTATGTGGCCGTCCAATTGCTCCCATTTTGATCACCCACTTTTGATTCCTAAACTGCATTCATCTTATCTTGTGTCAGAACTAAAATTAAATATAGAAGCAGCTAATAAAACATTAGTGGAACAAAATCAATAGCAACAGGGCCAATATATCTATACTTCAATCGCAAATGCAGACTTTAAAGTGCTTGTCACTACTGCTTGCTTCATTAGAATAAAATGCTTGACTATGGTGAGGAAAAATTTTATATGGTAGAATGAGCTCTTCTGTTTTAAGGACCCTTAAACATAAAAGTTTGGGAGCCTGGCTCAGTGAGTCATCTTTACAAACACAATTATAATCAGACAGATTGCTTGTATTTCCATGAAATGAGGGCTGTGTTTCCTTGCAGTCTGCAACACATTTCAGTGGAATTTATGTCTGAGCTACTATAGTTTGAACTAGTATGGTTCGCATGCTAAAGAAAAAGCATTCCCTTGGGAAAGGGCCACACTGGGATAGCACTGACAATAGGATTCCTGGAAACTCCCAGTGAATGAGCTCATTCTCCTAATTCTCCATCTATCTTTATGGTCTGCAATTTCTATAAGCCTAGTGATCGGGGAAAATCTTTTTCTTATCAGACAGACATGTACACACACACCTCCCTACTTGCAGAATGAGTTGTGAGTAGATGGTATTCTGAAACAAATGAGAAGATTCATGCATGTTGGACGGAAGCAGAAGGTTCTAGCAGAAAACTGTATTATTAAATATTTCTATTATAAACAGAAGTAGAGACTGCCAAACATAAAAGTGCATACTGTCCAAAGGAGGAAAAGAATGTTATCTTCTTTCATTTGTTCCCAAAATAAAAAGAAAACAAAGCATTAGAGAAGAAAACAGTTGCCTATAGAGAATTAAGCAAGCTTCTATATGACTACTGATTTTCAATAACCAAACCAAGACACCTTAACAAAATCTGATATAGAAAAAAGTCTTTTTTTCAATTCTTTTTAAAGAAGGACCTACTTTTTAATCACCAAAAATTAACCTGCTTAAAGAGCAAAATTGCAAAGCCCAACCTCGAACCCAAAAAGTCCCCAAAAGCACGTTGTATTTGTACGTAGCAGCTAACCAGCAACATATGACCACTGTCTGGGGTTTTTAAAATAAATTCTTGATTATACTTTTATT